GATGTTATCACCTCATAAGAACATAGTTACGTTACTTCCTCTTAATAAAGATAGAGCATGAGTCTAGAGCTTATGCATGCAGGTGAATATGCAAAAGTGTGTGAAACAATATATTAATAAAAATAAAATAAATAAACCATAAATTAAAAAAATCAAAATAAGGTAATAACTACTAACATGCAACTTATTAATTTTTATTTGTTTATTTCTTTTGAAAAATTAAAACAAATGGACTTAAATTAAATATCAAATAAAACCAATTAAATTCAAAATTCTCGATAGTGCATAATTAAAAAATTTTTAGCCTGACTTTCTTAAAATCCTAATGGAGTCACCAAACTATCATAACGATTTTGGGATCATTAAACAAAAATTTTTAAAATCGAGAAAAATGGAAGAGTCGCCACCAATTTTTTTTAGGATATGATTGGGCACCCAAAAGTTTATCTTTTTAATAAAGCGATAAAACAAATTTAAAGTTAATCAAAAAGATAATTTTGATCTACAAAGATAAAATTGGATTCAGGAGTCGATTACATATAGGGAATGATTAGCACCCTACCAGCGGTCATGAAAATTGATACCAATTAATCATGCTTTATCTTCGGGTTGGATAAAATGGTTTCGATTTGAAATTTAATAATAATTTCTCTTATTTTTGAAAAAAAAATCAATTTTATTAGTCTTTATTTAGGAATATTGCAAAATTCTTTCTGATAAAAATTTTGTTAAAACTCTCAAACATCTAGGCAGAATTTAAAGATAATTCTTTTCACCTAAGATTTATTATAACATTCCTTACAAATGAAAATAACACTCTTTATAGAATATAATTGTTAGTAACTTTCTAACGTTTAGGCAGAATACTAGGAATTATTTTCCTTAGAATGTTATCTTTGTTTTTTTTATAATTTCACATTTTTAAAGTATGCATTTTTTAAAAACGTTTTATGCTTGAAAGTCAAAAATGGTACTATCAGGTAGTCAACAATAATTAAAGTTATAAATATGCGAAACGAGTGCAAACAATCATAAATAGATGTATGTATGCCAATAGATGCTATGCATGATGATGAAATATAATAGACATCGACCCGTTAGATATAAGAAGACTACTTTTACTTTTTAACATTTAAGCAAAGTTTAGGTGTGACTATTTATATTTAAAATTCTTATTTTTAATGATATTTTTTATTTTATGTTTAATCTCATTATTATTCAGGTTAAGAAAGCGTATGAAAAATTTAACAAAATAAAATTTTTTAAATATCCCATCATTCATGTGGCATTCGAGAACATACTACTTCATATGAGATTTTCATATGAATCCTTAAAATTTTGTGATGGTTTTGTGTAGGGCTTAGGTCAAGGTTTTAAGGTTTGAATGATTTTTAGGTGATGATTTAGGGTTGCGAGTCAAATTTAGGGTTTTGGTTAAATTTAAGGTCTTGGTGAATTTTTAAGATTTAGGATCTTATTTAAAGGTTTCGAGATTTTAGGATTTTGGGATTTAGGATTTTTGTTTTAGGATTTTGATGTTTTAAGGTTTATGATTTTAGGGTTTTGGGTTTTAGGATTTTGATTTTGGGATTTTGAATTTTAGGGTTTAAAAATTTAAGGTTTTGAAATTTTAGGATTTTGAGGGTTTATGATTTTAAGGTTTTAAATTTTAAAGTTTAAGGTTTTGGATTTTAGGGTTTTAAAATTTAAGGTTTTAAAATTTTAGGGTTTTGAGGGTTTTAATGTTTCAAAATTTTAAGGTTTTAAGTTTTATGGTTTAGGGTTTTGGATTTTAGAGTTTTGAAATTTAGGGTTTTGAAATTTTAAGGTTTCGAGGGTTTTGGGGTTTTAAAATTTGAATTTTTAGAGTTTGGAGAATTTTACGGTTTGGTGTCTAAAAGTTTTGAATTTTAGAGTTTCAAAATTTAAAAATACGAAATCTCTAAAAATCTTCAACATCTAAGTAAACTTTCGAAACAAGCTCAATTTTTATAATTTTTAAACATTTATTAAAATTTTTTCCATATCTATTTTTTATTAAATTTATTGTTGTTATTATTATTATTATTATCTTTAGTTATTTTTTATTATATTATTTTATAAGTTTTATTTTAATTTAAAAATATCAAAAATTTAAACTTTTTTGTTTATTTATTTATATTCTCATTATTATTATTAAAAATAATTAATTAAATATTTATTTTAGCAAATTTAAAATTTTAAACATGCATAAATAATAATAATAATAATAATAATAATTCAAAATGATAAAAATAATATTAAAAAATTAAAAAAAAACCTAAACCAGACCAGTCAACATTTTGATCAACATTAATTTAACTGAATAGGCTAGGCTAGGGCTGAGAGAGCCTAGTCGATCAAGTGCACAAGTTATAGGTCAAACCTCATGCTAGCACACAAATCTTGAAGAGCCTAAATGGGATCATTTTGGCTTTTCTGTATTCTATAAAAACTCTAAAAAAACTTTTTGCTTGTTTCCTTTCCCTTTTCCAAAAAAAACTCCTTTTCTTCTCTCAACCAAAAAATTCAGGGCCAGCCAGTATCTCAAAAATCAATCATTGGTAGTCACGCTAACTGTTGCCTATTTTGTCGCCTGTTTTTTCGTTGATGGTTGCCAACTGCTGTGTCGATCACCAAAAATGCCCAAAAATTCACCAAAAATTTCTCTCGACACCCTCTTTATGTTTCTAACCTCCTTTTCCACAAAAAGATCCTAATCTCTTTAGATATAAACCGAAAACCTTTCGGCTTCACCCAATTTTTTTGGCTCTTTTTAGTTTTTTTTTTTTTTGTGATTGATGGTGTTAGGTTCCCCATTCCGGGAATATGTTTTTCTTTTTTTTGGTGTTTGGTTTTTGGTAGCTTGGAATTTTTTTTTTTTGGTTCTAGTTTAGCAAAGACTTTTCTCTCTTTTTTTTTTATTTTTGTATTTTTCTTCTTTTTTGGTGGTTTTCTCGATGAGATTTCTTTTGGTTTGGTTTGGTTTTTTTTTGGTAGGATTTTTCCTTTTTTTCTCTCTGTCCAACCTTTATCTTTTTAGATCTTTTTATAAGGCATGAATAGGGACAAGCTCCCATATTTTCAGCTGCAATCCCCATTATTAAGGGATGGTGGCAATTACAGCTAAGTAGATGACTTAGGGTATGGGTTCAAGGGCTATAGGTTTTTAGGGGGTTGTTTGGAGTAAGTGTGGCTCAGGATTATGGTGTAGCTGGAATAAGATGCTAACGATGTCTCCTTCTCTTTTTTTAATTATTATTATATTTAATATTTAATTATTAATTTTAATAAAATTAAACAAAATTAAAAACTGAGGCCTAATCCGAAAAACCCAAACAAAATTTGATGTCTACATACGTTAAATTTTTTTTCAAAGAACTAAAATGATTTAATTATATTATCAATAATAAAATGATTAACTCATAAAACATATAAATAATAAAATTATTAACATACAGATATAGTTAATATATATTAAAACAAAAAATTGACAGGAAAAAAATAAAAAAATAAAAATGCTTTAATGACTTAATTATGATTATTTTTAATGAATTTCTATATCAACATAAGCTACATATATAATTGTTTTTACAACAACTAAATAAACAAACTCTATATAATTATCTTATTCCTATGCACACTAAGTTTTGATCTCATTCTATTTGTGTTTTCATTTGATGTGAAAAATCATTATATTTATATAAAAAATAAGTATAATAATAAAAAAAATAATTTAAATTAAAATTTATAAAAAAAGTACTAATGATATTTTAATTGATCATATTTAACATTTTTTAAATTAAAATTTCATTAAGGGTATGTTAGTCTATCTTTTATTATAAAAAAAGAGTTTAATAATATAGATTCATTTAAATTAAAATTTATAAAAACATTTACTAAAAATATTTTAACCAATTACTTTTAACACTTTTGAAATTAAAATTTTAAAATTTTAAATAATTTAATTTCATATAAACTCTATTTTTAATTTTAGATAATTTAAATTAAACTTAAACCAATTTGTGAAAATTATATATTTAAGGATAAATTTGTTAATTTAAAAACTGATAAGGCTATTTAAGTCGATTACTATTTGCATTTTTAAAATTCACATTTTTATATATAAATAATATATTGAAAAAAAAAAAGGAAAAAGGTTGCAAAAAGAGAATAAAAACCAAAAGAGTCTGGTCAATATCATCATGTTATTAAAATGAAAAAAAAAATTGCTCTTTAATTTCTCATTCCTCACATTGATTTTATAAACTTGAATTTATCACCAATTACCATCTTTAATCTTCTAAGTTATAATCCATCTGTTAAATACTATTTCTCGTTCTTCACCATTCCTATGCAGTATACACCAAGCTGCTCAACTATTATTATTTCAAGGCATATTTTCAGTAATGCATACCCACTATGTGGGTGAAATAGATAAAAATTATTACTTAAATAAATATTAAAAAATTAAAAAAAAAGATTTTACTGATATCTTAAGGTTTTTTTTTTTTGGTAAAAATAAAAGAAATAGACGAGATGAAAAATTTATTAATTTAATAATTAAATTACAAAGTAAAAAAAAAAATTATAAATTTTAATTATTATATTAACAAAATTTCCATCATTTTCTCTTTCCATCCTTCTTATAAATTAAAGCCTTATAAAAGGAAATAAAGTAAAATAACTAGGCCTATGTTTTTAAGATAAATAAAAAGGTAGAAGTAGATAAGCGAATTTTAAAATCCGGATTCTCATTTTATTTAAAAATGAAATTACCATTATAACTATATTAATATATATTTTTATTATATAATTTATCTTTTTTGTCATTTTTCCAATTGAATTGGTGTCACTTAAAATGACACCAAATCAGGAATTTTATAATTAGTATACATACCAAAATATTACAATGGGGCAAAATATCTCACATTCAGCAGAAAAAACCTAAGAAAGGAAACCTAATTAGTGAATAAAGTTTTCTAGCACCCCATGACTTTATTAGGAGAAAGCTTGGGTTTTTCCACCACAGTTCCATCATTTCCAGCCAAGGCTCTGTACTTATCTTTCCTAGTGAAACTTGTGCATTCATATGATAAGCTTGAAGCAATCATTCTTTGAATGTAATTGGCTACTTCATGGCTTGATTTCCCAGCACCACAAGTTAATTCATAGGGCAACTTGTTCAAGAATGTTACTTCATACGCAGGGCTAGGGTTCATGAAGAAGTAAAAGGGGTCCATCCCTTTCCAACCCCTAGCTGTTGTTCCATGGAACATGCTCATCCGATTCAGCATAGCTACCGGAACAAGTTCATCGGTTAATTCAGCGAATAAGGCTGAAAACCTTAGTAAAAATGGTTCCCTACATGTTGTTCCTTCGGGGCATATGACTAGGTCACCTTCTTCTAATAATTTTTTGATCATGGAAGCATCCTTGGCTCGATCACGATTAAGACGAACGGTCTTGATAGGGGAGATAACTTCGGATAAACGCGATAAAGAGTATGTCACGGCAGGGATTGGACGGCCTAAAGCGGTGGAGAGGAAGATGGGGTCAAGTAGGGTTCTATGAGAGCAGATGAAAAGGACTCCAGTTTGACCTATTGATTTTTTAGCTGGAGGGGGTGGAGTCCCTTTGATGTAAACTCTTACACCAAGTACCCAAAAGGCATAATAGACTAATGGCATGGGGAGGAGGGAGCCGGCGGCGATGCGGAGGCAGGCAAGGAGGAAGCCGACTGGGATCCAAAGAATGATGAGAAGTGCCATGAATGGGGTTGGTTTTTGAACAAGCCGACCATCATGGAAAACAATTGGTTTTGGCAGTTTGTCAAGGGTTACCGGTTCAAACTCAGGCTTTGCTAGAACCACATAACTTTCCTACAAACGAAATTAAAATTTTCATCACTAGCAAATCATTCATTATAGTAATCTCCCAAGTTATTTTAAATAAAGAAATATATGAATATTATAATTTTCATTTTCAATAGAAATTATAGTTAAATGCTACTTATTAGTGACGTTTTATATTACAAATGACATTATATGTATATTTAATGGTATTTTCGATAAAAATATCATTAATTTTTTAAAAATACAAAATTTAACGGCGTTTGTTAAAAAAATTATTAAAAAACTATCATTAAATACCCATTTTTTTATAAGGTTTAATCAAGATTTGGAAAAGAATATGTATATCCCATACACGATAAGATTAAATGATTTAGAGTTTTAAGTTTAAATCATTAAATTAATTAGAGTTGATTCTATACTTGTACAAACTAATTAGTATATCATAAATTTATATTTTTCCATGAGTTAGTCTTAAACATGAGTTTTGGAACTTAAATTCGGCTTGATCCAACATAAAATTTAATTTTATTAAGAAAATTAATTTTTTTGCTTTAATTCTGAAATATATTTAAATGATAATATTTTTATATTTTTCATATATTTTTAATATAATTAATGGCTAAGATCAAGTTGGGTCTTGTACAAGATTTTTGAATAATCGATTGAGCTTGATCCAACCCATAAATAGGTTTAATCATAATAAACAAGCAATTTATGTATCAATCTTAAAAGATATAATTAAATTTATAATTCATTTTGAATCAATATTTTATAAAATTATAATTAATTTTTGTAATTAGAATTCAAATTATAAAGCATGTATTATAGGATATTTAATTCTAGCATGAAAAGTGTTAGATGGCAAACCTGGCACAATTTCATGAAAGGAAAATCAGTCTTTCGATCCCCTAAAGCAATATCTGGCATAGGCTCATTCTTAAATGCTTTCTCAAGTGCATCAGCCTTATTGATCCCTACAAGAATCCCTGGACTCTCCACCAAACCAGTTGCTCTACCTCCAAGCACATGAATTTCAGTTCCAATAACCATATCAGCTCCCAAAAAATCCTTAATAAATGGCTCCACCATAACCCTAGGGTTGGCCGTAAGAACACATCTTTTCCCACATGAAGAGAACACCCTCAATGTCTCCGGATGCAAATCACTCGAGTAAAACTTAGGCAAAACAGCTCGAGCCACGGATTCAATATCGGACACTTTCATTCCTACAAAGGTTGTGAAAATCAGAACCCGAATACCGGCTGATTCGGAGATGAAGTAGTAAAGGATTCCAGCAATAGGGGAAGCTAATAGCAAGAAGAGAAGCCTAAATATGCCACCAGCTTCAAAGGCAACTAATGCAAAGTAAGGGAAAGAGCTTCGTCCTCTTAGTAGGGTTCCATCCATGTCGGTGACCACCGTGTGTTTTTCACGCCCAGTTGATGCACATTGAGCAATGTTCGGAAAAAATGAAGTAGGGTTTTGTTTAGCTTCTGCCATTGTTAGGCTTTTAGAACAATTTTTTTTTCTTTTTATTTTTTTGAAGTTCACTTGGTTTTGAGGTTTGCTTTGAGTTTTATATATATATGTATGTATGTATAGAAAAGTTATAAAGTGAAGAACAAAATGGTTGGTGGCGTCGAGATTTCCTAACAAAATTCTTTGGAAAGAACGATTAGATTTTTTTTTCAGTTTTTTTTTTCAAGTCTTGTAGTTAAAAAAGAGGCAACAATGATTGCTGAAAAAATATATTTGTACGTTATCAAGAAGACAAAATTGGAGCAAAGTTCAATCAACTCTATTTTTTCTTTTATAAAAAAAAATTAGGTGAGAATAGACTATTTCCTTAAAGCTACCATGACCGTAGGTTTCTAAAAAAATTTTATATTAAATTTACAAATTATTTATTAAAGAAATTGTTAACAATGAGAATCAAACCTATACTTTATAAGTAAAATATTCAATTTTTTATCGATTCAACAATTCTTGGCCTTACTTTTTTCAAATGGCTAGTTTGTCAAATAAATATTCTTCATTTTGTACATTACTATTGCATTAATTTTTTTAAAATGCAAATATATAAAGGAGAGTTTCTTTTTTTTTTTCTGGCAAAACTCTACAAGTAAGTTAATTTGTGTTTATTTGACTACAGTACATATTATCTCAATTCATTAATGCTACTTTTTAAATTTATTTCTCACTTTTGGCAAAATAAGATAAGAATTTAGTTAAATTTATACACTTCACATTCATATATATATATAGAATGATTATTCTTCATTTATGTTAAATATTTATTTAAGCACTACAATAATATATTTTTTGTGCTTGAAGTTATAAGAGATTATATCTATAATCACTAAAATTAAAAATTTAACATTTTACTAATAAATCACCCGATTGTTAACACATCGAACTTATATCATTCATAAACTTCTTATATATTTTAGAAATTTTATTTTTTTTATTCAGATGTTAGGCTTTGGGTTAAAAGTATTTTAATACACTTTCTAAATGTTTTTGAAATGTTAACTTCTTGGTAAGAAATATAATATAGGTTTCTTTAATTTATTAGACCATTGATCAAACCCATCTATATCTGTTAGGAATTTTTCTATATTTCTCTTTATTAATTTTTTTTTCAGGGAGGATAATTCTAGTTGATATTCAATCTTACGATAGTAATTCAATCCATATTTTTTTCATTGTAAAATTTAATTATAATCCAAATATTTATTTTCCCTTTTCTTACTTTTTCTACATATTCCCTTTTTCTTCATTCCAATTTTTAAGCCTTCCCTTTGTTAGTAGGATAAAAAAAAGGGGGGGGGGGATTGGTACGTATCATGCAATATTACTTAATAATAAATTTGATAATTTATGTATTTGTATCATATAAAAATTAATAATTTATGTATTTATATTGTATTTTACATGTAAATTACATACCACAATTTATATCACACAAATACAAGATTCATTTTTTTATTTTGTTAAACTCATATATGACTTTTGTTAAAATTTTAAATTGTATAACTTTCGTATTTTTTTCGTATCATTTTAATATCGTGTTATCATGTTGTATTTTAAATTGATGAATCTATTCAATAACACGTAATTGGTTACATCACTTTTTTAGACTTTGTATTGAAAAAAGAAAAAAAAAAACAAGAGAATTATTCAGTACCATGTGGTAGCCACATGGCTATTTTCCATCACTTTCTAGGGAAAAAAACAGAGGGACTTAGATGGAGAAATAGAGAAAGTAAAATGCTGATCCATCAAATTGGGCGTTGTGCTCAATGGTGAATAACTTGGAATACATGCTTTTTTAATTGATGTTTAATAAAAACAATGTTTCGATCACAATAATCTCAACGCCAAAATTAAAAAAATATATAGAAAAATAAATTTAAACTAATTAATTTAATGTCAACTTCAAAAATTATCGCAATCAATTTAAATTTTGAAATAGAACTAATAATTTTAAACACAAAATGAATATATAATATGAAAATAATACAAAGAAAAATGACATAATTTAAAATTTCAATTAAAAAATTATATATAAATTTAACAAAAACAAAAAATTTATTTTATATTTAATGTGTTCATATGAATTTGACATAATAATTTTAATATTTTAAATATGTATGAACTCATAAAATTATCAAATTTACTTTCAAGATAATCAATGTCAACTTAAACAAATTAATTTGATGAACCAACAAATACTTTTGGTGTGTGTTTCTATACCCAAGAAGTCATACAGAGTGAGATGCTTTGAATGAACCATCGCTTGTTAAAACCAAATTATAAAATTGACATTAAACAACATTTAAGTGCTCTAAGAGCAGTTCTTTAATGTATGTACCCCATGATTCAGGGCATCAAATCTTGAGAACAATTCAAAAACTTTGTAATTTCTCTATGTTTAAATTCTGTCAGGATCAAGCCTCTCTATTCAGTAACAGTCGGTTGAGAAAAAAAAAAAAAAACACAAAGATGAAAGTTGTAGAGGATCATCTACAAGAAGAATTAAAAATACAAAAGCCTGGTGACTGCAAAAGAATAAAGTTCTTTTCCTGGGTAAATAAAGCAATCCTGGAAGCAATTCAAGCAAGGAGAGACACATAAAGTTAAAAGCAAATTTAGGAGACAAAAATCAATAGGAAAGTGACACAACATTTCCTCATTGCTAGATGCATCGACAGTTTTACGCAACCAAGCCCTTACTATGACTTGTCTAGTTTCAGTTTCTTTAGCAAAAGTTCATTTGCAGATAAAGCTTTAGAGAATAACTGGGTGATTCCAGGTTTTCGACCAGGAGTGAATATGGAAAAGGGATGACATGAAAAGGGCTTAAGCCCCACCATTGGAGGTCCACCATATGAGACTCTTCAATGCTAAAGACATAAAAGAGGGGAATGAAAGACAAGTTACAGCTAAAGTTGCTTACATTTTTGTCCTCTCTTTAAGTAATTAAAAAGGAATTCATGGTTCGGGTGGCTCATTGTCTCCCCCATTCATTATACGCCAATTGTTGCTGGATAGCAACTGTAGGAATCACAGCAGTAAGACATTTACTTTAGATGGACAAGGCAAGTAATCTGGCAAAGGAGATAAGATTTCATTGAGAACATGAATACACATCAACAATCTAACTAACCAACTCAAGAAAAACCTCTATAGGTTCCCGCCAAAATTCAGAAAAATTCAAAATCTAAGTATGGACCAGATGACCTGTCTAAGTCTGTGGCTCCCTTATCATTTGGAGGCAAGGATGACTTAAATGCTTGACTTAGAAATGAGATATCCATAGGTTTAGGGACTTCTGGAGGATGTGTACCGCGGATAAGAGCCCAATTAACACTTTCAAAGAAAGGATGCTGCTTGATCTCTGTGGCACCTCTTTTGAACCCTAGTCTCTTTCGGGGGTCCTTCACAAGCAGACCGCGGATTAAATCCTTTGCGGCAAAACTGATAGAAGATCCCTCTGAAAATTTTATGGACTGACCAACCACATTGAATAATGTCTCCCGATTGCCATTGCCTTTAAATGGAGTCCTTCCCAGCAGTAATTCATACAAGAAAATACCAAATGTCCACCAATCAACAGCACTCCCATGACCATCGCCTCTTATTATCTCAGGAGCTAAATATTCATGGGTCCCAACAAATGACATGGAGCGGGCATTAGTTGGCTCTGCAATAAGTACGGGAAATGTATCTGAATTCACCAAATTTGTTCTTACACTTTTCACCTTCGCTGTTTTGGAACTAAGAAACCGAGGCTTAAAGCAAGATGGCTGCAAACAAGCAGGCTCTACACATACCGGTAGTTTGCAGGCTGGATCAATGCAGGCTGGCTGAATACAATATGAAGCGATTCTATATGATGGATCGGAACTGGACTGCACAAGAGTAGGATTGACAGAACTTTGCAATGACAAATCAAAATCAGATAGCATGATGTGGCCATCCTCTCTGACCAATACATTTTCAGGCTTTAAATCCCTATACACCACACCCATCATGTGTAGGTACTCAAGGGCTAGAAGGACTTCTGAAGCATAAAACCTGCAAAAACATAGAAATTTTATAAGAAAACTTACCAAACCTCGAGTACTTTCTATGGAGATAATTCTCTAAGCATATTGAGAGATTTGACATTAACCAAGAATGGTGGACATTTAGAAATTTGAATTGATAACTGAATCCCTTAGAAATCATGTGAACAGAATTAGCAGCTGTCTTGAATACTCCAAGGACACTGTCGGTACTAGAAGCAGGAAGATGGTTTGAAAAGTAAATTAGCTCCATACTTTTGATGCATCTTCTCCAGAGAAAAGGATACACTCTGCAGTGAGGGTGGAAGGAGGTACTTTGATCTTGCATCCACAGAACAATTACCATGAAGAACAAAAGCTGAATTAAAAATTGAAGCTAACTATTTTCTATCCATGGATAATCCTCCCAAACTCTGGTTCAGCACAAATTATCCAAACACCTTTATATCAGAAGTCCTGAACACCAAGACATAATCAAGAAGAAATTCTGTTTCACTTCTCCTCTTTTCAAGGCAATACCTTAATAATATTTCCCTGACTAGTGCTATTACTTTTTTTTTTCATCAAGGACAAGAAGCAGCCAAGCTGAGGACAAAAGGTGGCCAAGCTAGCAACCTAAAATTAAACATATTAAACCTTCAAAGGTTAGAAACCAACCGTGCTGCCGGTTCTGGGAAATGCTTGCCCGGCTGGCGTTGCCGGAGTATATGAAGATCCCCACCACTGCAAAACTCCATCAACAAGCAAGAAAACTTCTCAGTCTCAAAATGTGAATAAAGGGTTGGTAAAAATGGATGATCTAACAAACTCAAAATTTCTCTCTCGGTTTGTGCTCTCATCAATTTCTTCCTCCCAGCTAACATCCCTTTATCCATAACCTTCATTGCAAACAAACATCCCATCCCTCTTAACTCAGCTAAATAAACACTCCCTATATCTCCACACCCCAACTTTTTCAACAACCTAAAATGAGGTAACCCCAAGTTCCCATCTTTACCCTTGACATACTGCATTGCATCCCATCTAATATCATTTCCTTTATGAGGTTTTGATGGACAAAAACTCCTAAAACTACTACATTCATTTGCATCAAGACTACTCTTTTCACTCTCTTCACAGTCAGTAGGAACAGAATCAGCATCCCTACTAACACTAATTTTATTAGTTGACCCCGAAATACTACTACACAAACTGATACTAACACTATTCTTATTGAAGTTGACATCTTGAAAACTACTACTACTACTGCTTCCATTATTGCTAGAACTAACACTAGAATCAGACCCAGAAATGCTAGCAATGTTATTATTCAAGCAAAGGTCTTTGAGAGTGTTGGTGATGGGAAAAGTTTCAAGCTCTACATTTTTTTGGGGCTGTTCATCCATGTCTGAGAGAAAAGAAATGAGAAAACTGTTGGATGAAATGTCTGAAAGAAAACAGGGTAAAAAGAATTGAGGTTGTTGGTCAAGGGAAATGTTGGGTATGACCGAGGTAGTCAAAGAAAAGAGAGTAAGACGCGGGCTTAACTTAACATGGCATTGTAAATGAAACGAAGGAGGGATTAAACGGCTTTCAAAATTGAAATAGTGAGGGTAAGAAACTAGGAATAAGATAAGCTTGAAAGTTTTTTTTTTAAATTTTTGATAAACCCAAGGTTGAGTTTGGTTTTGAGTCTTTTTCTTACAGTGCCCCAGAACATGTTATAGCTTACAGACAAAAGCAAAGAGAGAAGGAGAGTGAGGGTTGGGAGGGGGGGGGGGGGACCCAATTCACGAGGAGGACAGAAGCCTATTCAGATTTTCTAAAACAAAGAAAAGGCATTTGAGACACCAATAGGCAATACCGTTACACTGGGGACTTTTGGTTTTTTCAGGGGAAAAAGATGCATTTGGGGTTAATCTAAGACAGGTTGGTGAACTGATGACTTGGTGCCTGCCGGGTGGTGGGTGGCTTTTTGTTTTTTTGTTTTTTTTGGGTGATTGTGGAGGGTGGGGTTTCAATTTTGAAGAATTGGATTAATGGTAGGTATTTGCTTACGGGGCAGGTTTGATAATTTTGGGTACGTCCTGTCTTGACTCTTTGCTGTCTGGGTAGGTGCAAAACAATGGAAATGGGAAGTAGTAAAATGCAAGGTATTCATTTCATTGAATTTTTTAGGAAGTTAGATAAGATAAAATTAAAATAATTATAATTATATAAATTAATTTAATTTAATTTTGAATTTAATTTTATTAAATATAGATATTATTTTTTACTCTTCCAAGTTGGCAGAGTGGATAATTGTGATATCTAATCTCATGTGGGAAGATTTTTAGAATTTGTTATTATATATAAGTAAAAATTTAAATTTAAATTTGTATGATATTTTTGTAAGATAAAATTATAAGATTTTTAAATTAAAAAAGATAACATTTTACATATTGGGTATAGATCTCCATAAATTGTATCAAAGTTAGATTACCAATCGAATGGAAGTCAAGTGCTATATTCATAGAAGCTACTTCTAAAATCCTTCTAGAGCTACATATTACATGATGAAAATCATTTTTAGAATCTCAATATCTATTATGATTCAAATTCTATCTGTGCTTTAGGAGCCGTTCCTAAAATCTTACTAAAGCTACGTCTATACGTGCTTTGAAAGTCACTTTTAAAATTCAGTTGGAGCTAAATACTACACAATAGAGGTCACTTCAGAATCTCAATATTTGGGATATATTTTGTTCTATCTGTTAGAGTGATTCTACTTCAATATGTGCTTTGGGAGCTACATCTAGAATTTCAATATATTTGATGTTATTTGGTTTTGTATAAGAATCTGTTATAATATATAAGGGTTTAAATTCAAATTTATAAAGCATTTTTTGTAAGATACAATTATAAAATTTTAAGTCAAAATAAATAATGCCTTATATGTTAGGTATGCGTCTTCACGATAATTTTCAATGATATTTAGTTTTTCCTTTTTGGTAAATGCTTTGTTAGTTTGTAGTAAATATTTTCATATTGAATATAACAGTAAATTAACTAAAAAATTATAATCTTTTTGCCTTTCAATCAAGAATCAGATAATCTGTAAAGTCCCGTTTATATGCAGGCATTTATTTTATGATTGAAAGTAAGAAATGGAGTGAGAATAGAGTTACACAAATTGGTATCCATTTCCCAACACAATAATTTGGGGAAGGCAACTTCAGCCATAAATTTGCTGAAACAGGGTTTTTAAATTTGTATTTTGTTCAGATCAGCAGAAGTAACAATTTATTACTTCATTACTACAATAATTTCAATCTATAAGCCTTGGACCTTGTTAAATCGATGAGCCAATATTTCTCAGCTAATAAACAAGCTTGGCTTGGAAAAAGAATTTCAAAGAAAAGTAAAAGGAGTTTAGCTCAGTTTATTTATAGCGCCATCGTTAACAAATAATATCCAATAGGTCGAGAGTTTAAATATCAACATTTACGATTTCTTCCTTTATTTGGAGGCTCCGAACTCTTATCTACCAAAAATAGAAGAAGAATGACCGGGGATCATTCACATCAGACAGGGTGCCATAATCATTGATCTGTTTACGAAATAAGCTTCTGTATGTTATGAAAACGATGCCAAAAGACTCAATTTCAACTGCCATGCTTATTCAAATGACAATCATAGACCATTTGACTCCTCACATATGGCTGAATTCCACATAGTTTCAAATTTTTTACCGCAAATGTCAATTTGTTTATAGGTGATTGGTTTTCTTTAAAGACAAGATTACCTTGTCTGCAAAGATTAAACACATCAAACCTTAAAATATAATCAAACCTGAAGCTAACATTAATAATTCTGTTTCCAAGTTTATATATGATGTGATTTCAAAACCCTTCTGTCTCTCATCCCGACTGAATTCAAATGAAGTCATTGCAGGTTGCTGCTGCTCTTCTCCTGCTCCTGTTTTTTGGTAATGTCATAAACATTTATTATCTAATTTTTGTTGCATATTTTAAAACCAGTTTTAATTCAATGGCAAACTTTGCAGGGCATTCACTAGCACGTGCAATTACATTTTCTGTACACAATAAATGCCCCATTTCTATATGGCCAGCAACTGCCCCCAACACCGGCCATCCAGTGATAGCAGGTGGCGGATTCTATCTCCCACCAGGCCAGACACAGCGTTTTGAGGCCCCGAAGACATGGAACGGGCGGATTTGGGCGCGGACAGGATGCAACTTCACCTCCAATAGGCAACCAGCTTGTGAAACTGGTGACTGTGACGGAAGGCTTCAATGCAATGGACTAATAGGCACACCTCCAGCCACATTAGTCGAAGTTACACTTCAAGGTGATACAGGCAAGCCAAATTTCTATGATGTTAGCCTGGTTGATGGCTACAACCTTCCTGTTTCGGTTGCTACACGACCTTTTTCGTCTAAATGCTCCATCGGAAGCTGCTCGAAAAACCTCAACAACTTGTGCCCTCAAGAACTTGAAGTCCTTAACAAGGATGGGGAAGTTATTGCTTGCAAAAGTGCTTGCTTGGCTTTCAATATTGATTCATTTTGTTGCAGAAATGATTATGGGACACCTGAAAAATGCAAACCAACCATGTATTCAAAGATGTTTAAGGACGCTTGCCCTTCTTATTATAGCTATGCCTTTGACATGCCTCCACCATTGGTAAATTGTGCATCAAAAGAGTATGTAATAACTTTCTGTCCTTCAGCTTGGGGAGCTGATCAGGCTTCCATATAGAGTTTTTATACCTTTTTTTTTTTTTTAAATAATGACTAGTTTTTACCATTTGATTTGTAAACCTTAATTCACTGTTTTTTCTTTTTCTAATAAGAATTATCATCTCCTTTTTATATGATCTGGATTTGGGTTGTATTTGGGTTCCATTTATTTATTGTTTTTATTCTTTTAATTTTTGAAATTAAAAATAAAAAATGCATTTGATATATAAAAGCCAGTATATCTCTTATATATCTAAATGCATGTTTTATTTATGTGGATTTTTAATTCGTTATATTTTATATATTTCTCATTTTAAAAAATTCACAAATTAATTTTTTTTAATTTATGTGGATTTTTAATGTGTTATATTTTATATATTTCTCATTTTAATCAAATCTAAAATTAAAGGTAGACAACGGAAATGTTAAAAAAAAAAAAAGGAAAATCAAAACCCAAAAACAAGCCCAACAAAACTGCTCGGCCTACCAGAGTCTCATGAGGCCCATTATAAAACGACATCGTTTCCATCTAGGGTTTATCGAAGCATCCCCATTTATATCTATAAAATATCAGCCAAAACCCAAACTGTTCCCCACCATCGCTTTTCTCTCTATGTTTAGGGTTTCTGGCGATCCAAATTTCGCTTTAAAATCTAAGGTTGGGGTTCCTCCTTTTCCGGAATTTGATTTTTTTTTTGAAAATTTTGTACTTTTCATCGATCAATTGATGAGAAAAAAGAAAACTGCAACAACATGATTGGATTTGATCCTTGATTACTTGTATTTAAGTTTCTGATAATTTTTCTTTTTTATTTTAATCTTGAAATTTCTTAAAAATTCGGCCCTTTTTTTTGAGAGATATGATGAGATCTTATTTGGTCCGTGTTTCTGATTTAACCTTGACCGACAATGTTTTACCAAACTGTGACATCAAAATTTTCATCAAATTTTTACATTTTTTTTTTTGCTCTTTGTATAATTTTTTTAATTGTTTTTTTAAGTTTCTGCTGTGATGAATTATGAATAAAAGTCACACGTCAGACTTCAGAGATTTTAAAAAAATCTGAGAAGAAAATTCTTGTCTTGTGAGTAGAAGGATTTGTTTCCAATAATTTTTTAAACATTTTTATTATTTTTTTGTGTATTTGTAAAATATTGATTCTTGGTTTCGAAGTTGTAATACACTTAATTTAATGATTTAATGTACAAAAAATTGGATGTAAAGTGTAAAATCTGTTAATAATGGTTAAAAGTTAATTTTGGTGAAAAAAATAGAATATTTTGCTTGATGCAAAGACCATATCACATCTATATTCATATAATTGATGTAATCCAAATCCCCATACCGTAAGATGGTTAACTCAAGATATTGTACAGTGTTAATGGCTTTTGGAACTAACGATGAACTGGCTTTTGGTGTTGGAAAGCATTCAAATTAAATTTTTCCAAAGCAACTAGAAAACAAAACTATAATCCCAGATTTGTGCTTAAGAAATAGGATTAGCAATTCAACCTGAATATGTGGGTTCCGATCCAATTCTATTGAGTTTTTATAGAGTTGATTTTGTATTTTTAAATCGACTTTCAAGTTGGATTGGATATGTTCTTTTTAAATTGGAGACAGATCCTATTTTAGTCAAATCTGTTTTAATTTGATTAAATATATATATATATCATATTTTTTATTATTATTTGTATTTTTAAAAAATATATTTTATATTAAAAATAATATTTTATTAATTTTAAATAAAAACAAATTAATATAAATTCATACATATATATAAATTAAATATAAAAATATATATTTTAATATTAAATTAAATTTAAATATTTAATATATAAAATTAAATTAAATTTGAAACGAATAAATTCGTCTCGATTTTATCCGATCTCACTTTATTCTCAGATCTCACGTGTAGTCGGATGGGATTGTTGATTTAACTGATCATGCTGACGTGAATTAGTTTCTTGTAAACAGTATCATTGTTGCCACAATGAATTGTGTTTGTCATCGTTAATAAAACAAATGAAAATAATACATAATATGTGAAAATAAGTAATATTTTATTATATTAATTGATAAATTTATAATTTAAATATTATATTAAAAATTTTAATATTTAAATATAAAAATAAATATTTAATTTAATTTATTCATGACATTAACTTTGGAAAATGCAATTGCGTACTATGACACAGAATAATGGTTACTTTTCCAAGTTCAACTATTTCCAAATGAATATGACTGAAAGTGCAGTCCTCGTTCAGAATCTCCGTTAATTCAATTTTCTCGCCGCCCTAATGCCCTAACCTCCACCTTTCATAAATACGTGAAAGAATACAAGCCTTTAAAAATGTATTTTATATTAAAAATAATATTTTATTAATTTTAAATAAAAATAAATCAATATAAATTCATACATATATATAAATTAAATATAAAATATATATTTTAATATTAAATTAAATTTAAATATTTAACATATAAAATTAAATTAAATTTAAAACGAATAAAAATTCATATCGATTTCATCCTATCTTACTTTATTCTCAAATTTCACGTATAGTCGGATGGGATTATTGATTTAACTGATTATGCTGACGTGGATTAGTTTCTTATAAACAGTATCATTGTTGCCACAATGAATTGTGTTTGTCATTGTTAATAAAACAAATGAAAATAATATATAATATGTGAAAATAAGTAATTTTTTATTATATTAATTGATAAATTTATAATTTAAATATTATATTAAAAATTTTTAATATTTAAATATAAAATTAAATATTTTATTTAATTTATTCATGACACAGAATAATGGTTACTTTTCCAAGTTCAACTATTTCCAAATGAATATGACTGAAAGTGCAGTCCTCGTTCAGAATCTCCGTTAATTCAATTTTCTCGCCGCCCTAATGCCCTAACCTCCACCTTTCATAAACACGTTAAAGAATACAAGCCTTACACTTCCTTCTCATCTTAAATGGAAGTTTGAATTTCAAAGTTAACCAAATTTTCGCATTAAGAGAAAATAATTTCTTCGAAAATATTAATATTATGAATAATTTTTAAATTATAATAAAATATTTAATATAGTATTTAAATTTTAAAAAATTTTAATTATAAATTTATTAATTAATATAATATTTATTTTTAAAATAATTAATTTTAAATAATAACACATTATATATAATATAATAATATATTAATTAATAAATTTATAATTTAAATATTATATTAAATATTTTGTTATAGTTTAATTATTACATAGACCCTCTTTGAAATTTTGGAAAACCTGACAAACTTCATATTCACACATTGTATAATGGACAAAACTTACAAAATGTTTCATATATAAAATTTATGAAGTTTTTTTATAAGAATTAAGTAAATAAAAAATTTAAATCAATAGATTGATTGAATTTTTTATGAAAATTAATAATATGTATAAAAAATATTATTTATAATTCAAATTTATTTAATATTTATTTTACAGTAAAATTTTTTTAATATTTTTATTAAAAATATTTATTTAATAAATATATCAAAATTTATTAAAAATTTATTAAATTTTATACGTTTAAGTTATGTGATAAAATATTTTAATTTTTAATTTTAATTTTCTTATTTTTAATAAAAAATTTTACCAATTTCACATTAATGAAAGTCTTTTTTTTTTCTTTTTTTTCCCTTATATAATAGATTCATGCTGACTAAAAACAATCAGTTGGAGTCCTTGCAGTAAAAGTAAATAAGTACTCCAGGAAGACCAAGACTCAGTCAGGTAAGACCTCAATTATTTTGGATCAGCAATTCACCATAAATGACATTAGAAATTAGAGAGAAACCTGTTGCTACTTCATAATGCGAAAATTCAAACTTTTGCAGCTAATCAAAAACACTCATCTTCTCTCTATATAACACTTCAGCTCAGTTCACCAGCTCATAACTTCAAATAGATATTAATTAACAAAAAGTTCTGAGAGGGATCGAGTAACAGAAAATGATGATGATGGGAGACATGTGGTCTAACGTAGGATCAACCATGGCAGCTTTGATGTTCGTATATGCTATGTTTCAACAATACTTCCCTCCCCAGCTCAGGGATCGTATCGAGATGTATGGCAGAAAGCTGGTGACTTTTGCCTACCCTTATACTCAAATTACCTTTGATGAATTTACTGGGGAACGCATGAAGCGTAGTGAAGCATTCTCAGCAATTCAATTCTATCTCAGCAGCAAGTCATCTGCATCTGCTAAGCGGCTCAAGGCTGATGTTGTCAAGGATAGCCAGTCTGTAGTCCTTAGCATGGATTATAATGAGGAAGTCATTGATGAGTTTGAAGGGGTCAAGGTTTGGTGGGCTGCAAGCAGAAGTATTCCCCAAACACAGCAATTTTCGTTTTATCCTACTGCGGATGAGAAGAGGCATTACAAGCTCACAGTCCATAACAGCCACAGAGAACTCATCACTAAGTTTTATCTTAGTCATGTGTTAAAGGAAGGGAAAGCAACTGCAACAAAGAACCGGCAGCGAAAGCTCTACTGCAACAATCCTAGTGATAACTGGTATGGATACAAAAGGACCAAGTGGAGCCATGTAGTTTTTGAGCATCCTGCATCATTTGACACTTTGGCAATGGAGGCAAAGAAGAAAGAGGAAATCATGAACGATCTCAATAAGTTCAAAAAGGGGAAAGATTACTATGCAAGGGTTGGAAAGGCATGGAAGCGTGGTTATCTCCTTTATGGTCCTCCTGGCACTGGAAAATCTACCATGATTGCTGCAATGGCTAATCTTTTGGATTATGATGTTTATGATCTTGAACTTACTGCAGTCAAGGATAACACAGAGTTGCGGAGGCTTTTGATCGAGACATCAAATAAATCAATCATAGTGATCGAAGACATTGACTGCTCTCTTGATCTTACAGGCCAAAGAGAGAAGAAGAAGAAGGACAAAGATGATGAAGAGAAGGATCCAATCAGTAAGAAAGCAAAAGAAGAGGAGTCAAAAGATAGCAAGGTTACTTTATCAGGGCTTTTGAACTTCATTGATGGACTTTGGTCAGCTAGTGGGGGTGAAAGAATCATTATTTTTACCACTAATTATGTGGAGAAGCTTGATCCGGCTCTAATAAGGAGAGGAAGAATGGACAAACACATAGAAATGTCCTATTGTTGCTTTGAAGCATTCAAGGTGTTAGCAGAGAATTACTTACAGATTGATTCTCATAAACTCTTTGGGGAAATAGAAACATTGCTTGGGGAAACCAAGATGACTCCAGCTGATGTTGCAGAGAATTTGATGCCAAAGTCAGATGAGGAGAAGGAAGAGACTTGTTTGAAGAGACTCATTGAAGCTCTGGGGGCTGCAAAGGAGGAAGCAATCAGAAAGAAGGAAGAAGAAGAAGAAGAAGCTCGTCTGAAAGCGGAGAAAGAGAAGCAACAATCTGCTGAAGAAGTGAAGATAGATGGAACAACAGGCAAAGAAGTGAGAGAGGATGATGCAATCCATTAAATAACACCATGGCAGCTACTACTAGTGCAAGCATGTAAAAATTGCAATTTTTTTTGCTGTTTAAATATCCTGAATTTTCATTCTGAAATAATCACTGTTAGCTAGATTTGTACTAGGATCTAATTCAGTAAGTTGGGATCACTTCTTGCTGGTAGTTATTGAAATATAAGTTCAGTTATTTTCTTGTTTTCATCCAATTTTCTCCAAAATGTGTAATATGTTTTTGACAGAACAACAAACTCGTTGCCCTCAGTCTAATACATGAAATGAAAAAAGGACTTTTTTTGTCATCAATTAAAACCAGGAGGGCAGCAAGATGCTAATTGCCTCTTAATTATATATCTTTCTGACTTGGATTCACATGAAAATCATGCTGGATTTAATTGCCAAAATCTTGCAAGTCCATTTCTTCTTCTTGTTAATGAACACACCAAAATAATAATAATAATAATGAACCTGGTCATGTGCAAAGAACTTGGCTTAAAGAAAGATTAAACATTACTTAAGATCTTCTGTTGGCCCAAGTTTGACTTAACTTGGGAGTTGTGACCTGGTTATAGTAATAGAGTAAGCCCAATACTAACCTAACTCTGGCCTAAGTATAATGTGTGAACAATCACATTGCTTCGTTGAATTCGTTTTTCTTTTAATTATTTGGACAAAACTAAAAGGGAAAAGGAGACTTAAATCTTGAATTTGAGCCTTAACAATTGGTCTACATCAATGTAATTTTCCATAGCATACCTTTTCCAATGTTGAATATTGATTCCGCTTTTCTTGCCTAGTCCAACTACAATTGATCCTTCCTATTTTTCAGATTTACACTAATGTCACCATATTTCATTAAAACTAATTCAATAACTCAATAGCCTCTCATCCGTTTGGAATTTAAATATAAAATTCTTGGATTTGAGTAAGTTTTGAATCATGAAATTTTCTGAATAAAAACCAAAATCAAATCTATCACTCATCATCAGATCTGGCTGTCTAGTCATGCTTACAGGAACCTGAAAATAACTCATCTTCCTTTTTCCTGACAGGTCAATGTAGAATGTCCCACAGCTGACAATGCCACTATCTTAGCCCGTGAAGGTGGACATTTACAACAAATGATTCAAATCACAGCTCTATTGAACCAAGTAAATCTCTCCGCTAATTGGATCCAGTAAAAGTACAAAACGCAGCTTAAGGTCTTGCTCAGAGAACACGATCAAAATGTAAAGGCGTTGAACTTCATGAATCCAGACAAATCTAGAATCTGATTCTCTTGTCTATACAAAAAGAAAAAAAAAACATGCTTTAAACTGTGGTAGCTTTTGGTCTACAATATATAGTGCAGCCATAGGGTGTCATGACAAATAGAGAATCTAAGGTTTGAGCTTGTAAAATCTTCAGCTTTGCAAGAAACATTTACTGAGAGCAAGTAGGCTTAAGCCATGGCTGTTTGAGGGTTCCCAGCAGTAGCCATATTATGAAAAAAATGAGACAAGATTTTGAAATTTAGTTTAAACTCTTTTGCTTCTAGCTCTATAGTCAACACAATTGAAGCCAGCTCCTTTTTTGCCCCCAAGGACTATGCGAACTGCTGATTAACAAAGAATGGTTCCCCTGCAAAAATTTATCTTTCGGTACATGTGAAAGAAAAGAAAGAAGGAAAGCCACAGGCTTTTTCCACGTTCACACATTGTGGCATCACTCCTATTACATCATGTAGAACAATTCCCTACCAGTTAGAGTTCTTACGACTCATGTATTTGGGAAATTTTCTTTATAATTAAAGATTTAAAGCTATCAAAATTTAAATATTAAATATTAAATATACAATTTAAAATTTTAATATTTTATCAATAATTCATGCGATAATTTGAAAAAAATTCTAACTGAATCTTTAACTGTTTAATCCGAACATATTTGTTACTGTAATATATTATGATACGAAAATTATACTTGTCAAAACTGATTTCCAAGAATCAGACAGAAAACTCCAAATACTAGTAGGTGGCATTAATACTGGTAGACTTGTGCAGGGGACATAATATAGAAGTCCAAGCTGGTGACATAATCCAGTAGAAGAACTTCCCTGGCTTACAAAATTAAAGAAAAATGAATATTGACAGAGACCTTGACACCCTTAGGTCATCCTTCATTGTTGTTTCTTCTTTGACGTTGGAAACTAGTCAGAAGTTTCAATAGCCATGGTGGGAAAAGTACATTAACTTAATCACCAAGTCACAAGCAATCATCTCTTCTGTATATATTAGACAGTTCACTGCAAGAAAATAAGTATTTAATGATAGTTTTTTAGCGACGTTTGTTGATAAACGCAGTTAGATTTCATGTTTTTACAAATTTAGTGACGTTTATATCATAAACGTCACTAAATATATATTTACAGTTGTTTATTACACAAAACATCACTAATCAGTACAAAAAAAAATTAACGATCTTTTTGTTTACAAATGTGGCAAAAAGATATTTTAAAAATTAATTAAATTGGATTAAAAAATAAAATGTACGGATATGATAAAATTTAGTGGCGTTTATTATGATAAATGCCGCTATTTAGAGCATTTAGTGGCATTTGTTTTAAAGTTTCCGCAAAATCATCGATCCCTTCTGGCAGATTTTCCTCTCTTTCATTTCCCCTATTTTTCCCCCATTCAGTCGAGCCCCAGATTTCCTTGTCATTTTATTTCCTTTTCAATTTCGTTTCTTTTTCATTTCCATATTGAAACCCATTTCGCCCATTTTGCCCATTTGGCAGATCCCTGTCTAGGTTTGTGGATTTTGAGGGGATAGAGTAATTTGAACCAGCTTTGAGGTTCTATTGTGTAGTGTGGTTTTTGTATGCTCATTAGGGAATTCTTTAATTTCATAGGCAGAGGAGCTTGTGGTGTCATCATCATCATCTTCCATCCTAGGAAACTTCATGTAAATAACTCTTACAACCCAAAACTTTTCTTTTTTCCTTCATGTAAATGTAAATTTTTTTGAAAATTTGTTTCTATTTTTTGTTTTGGGTAAGCAGAACTGGAGCTTATGATTTGGGTGAATTAGATGGACAAAACCCTTCCAATATTCAAGACCAAAAATGTGAGTGTTCTCTCTTCTCTAGCTTTCTCAAAAACCTTTTTTTTTTTCACATATAACAAGTATAAGCCACCTCTCAGATATGGTAGAAGAAGCAAAATCATATCAACTTTAGCCTTCATTAAGTTGATTCATGGAGGCTCCGCAAACTACAATATTCCCTTTGTTCCAAGTAGTCCAACAGTCATCAACGAAGAAAACCCACATTTGCTTTTATTTGTTACCATAAGTTTAGGTTCCATTATGTGCCTGTGTTTTGCCCTTGCAATCTCTGGTTTCCTCATATACTAGCATAGAATTCACAGTTACAGAAAGCATTCAGAAAATAAAATTACTCCAAGAATAACTAAGCAGTTTACAATAAGATCATTTTCTTTTATTGAGCTCCAGGAAGCAACGGACTGTTTCAAGCAAGAGTTGGGTAAAGGGTCCTTTAGAGCAGTTTATAAAGGAACTCTACCAGTTGCAGGAGGTACTAAAATTGTTGCAATTAAGAAACTAGAGAATGTGGAGGAAGGAGAAAGAGAGTTTCAAAAGAAGATGACAGCCATTGGGTGATTTCTGTTTAGCCAAGCTATTGATGGCAAATCAAACAAGCATTACAAGGTGTAAAGGCACAGGAGGGCATTTGGCACCATAATGGCAAAGGAATGCCCCAATACCTGTAAAAGTTGATGTTTACAGTTTTGGGATCATACTGCTGGAGATAATCTGTTGTAGGAGTAGCATAAAAGTAAAGGTTTGTACAGTAGATGAGATACTTCTTTAAAGTTGGGCATATAATTTTTTTCACTCTGGCGAGCTGAATAAGCTGGTGTATTCAATACGACCCAACTCTACGTCCTTCAATGGAGAATGTGATATTGATGCTGGAAGGGACGATTGACATACCCATCCCTCCATCTCCACTTCATCATTCCCTTGATATTTAACAATTTTTAATTATCTCATCACTACATTATATATATCAGGATTGTTCTCATGCGTTTATTTTTGCTTTTAATGTATTTTATGTTTTTATAGTATTAATAATTCTTAAGTTTTGTTAATTTGGTAATTTAGATTAAAAAACATTTAATTAGATTTTAAATTTTGTGTTAATTATAAATATATGAATGCTAACTATAGGTATCTGCACTTCATCACGATTGCGGTATGCTCTGGCTGCTCTAGTAATCTCTGCTGTTATAAGTCTGGTAAGTAAAAGACAAGCCTGTGTTGGAACATTTTTAAAACTAGATTATGCATTATTTTATGCTTCAGTGGATGTTGGATCATATAATTTACTGTTTGCAACTCGTATCAAATCTACCAGAATAAAAAGAAATTGGTATCCTATAAGGTAATTGATATGTTTAAGCAGATCTTTGGTTGTAATTGATTTTTTTTTTTTTTTTTTTTGCATTTTAACGATTTCATGTGGATTATGAAGAGGCATTTTTCTTATGGCATGTAGATAAGATTTTATTCTTTGGACCATTACAAGTAGTATAACTCTGTTTCTTTGAATTGAGATTGGTATCCTTGTTGGAATTGAGTATTATTTCAGGTAATTTTTTTGTTTGTATGGTTTAATAATTCTTTTATTTATATAATAATTTATTTAATAATATTGTTACATACCCTATAAATCCTTTTATTTATTTAATAAATATTTTTTCTGTATGGTTTGTATTTGTTTTATTTGTAATAGCTTGGTGCCATTATCTAGAATTGCTGCTAAATTATATCCCTTCCTAGTCTATAAATGCCATAACCTGTGTTATTTTTGGGTTTTTGGATTTATCACTTTGCTGGTGAAAATGGTTGATGCATACCTCATGCATTTACGTTTCTTAGTGCTTGTGTACACATGTTCTTACCAAAAACTGATGCTGTAGTTTATACACTTTAGACTTTGTCAACCAATGACCTCATATCAAATGCCATAAATTTATTTATTTTTTTCACTAATATAATGAATAAAAAATAAATAAATTGTTATAACATTCTAAGTAACAGGTTAAGAGCATGAGTACAGACATACAATTTATCCTTAATGCGCTGCTGAGTTCTAGTACTTTTCTCTCTTTTGGGTGTTACCAGTTTTGAAATGTGATTTCTTACTTAATGTATGCAAGCTCATTGGGCCAGATGTTTAATTTTGAGGATAGTATCAATTTATTTTTATCTTTTCCACATGATTGGCTTTAATTTACTCATTTTTCCAAATTCATAATATTTTTTATCAAAAAGTTTCATTTCAACAATTTTCTTTCAAAATACTGGAATATAATTTATGGTGTAAGTAAAATAATAACTTTTTCCTAATCCAGGTGCCTTTGTATAATCTATATTTTTCATAAATTATCATTAATTGACTTTGTCAAATAACAAATGTTAATTTAGTTTTTGGTTTTCTAATCATGACTATTAGTTTGTTATTTGCTGTACAGTTTTGCGGTGTAGAATAATTTAGCACGGGGACACAAGAGTACATCTTTCAGCTGAGACATCATCGATATGAATGCTGATATATAATTTACTTGCATGGAATTATTGCACTGAAACAATCGGTTGTTATTGCATTAAATTTTTGAAGTTACGTGGATACTATAATAAATTATGTATTTAAATATTTATAATATTTAATTTATGAATTTTAATTTATTTTTATTAATTTAAATATTTTTTTAATTTAATTATAATAATAAATATTAAAAAAATAAAATAAAATATTTAATTTCGCGATGTTTTTGTCATTAGTGTCACTAAATGACCAAAATTATTGGTGTCTTTGTTTGAAAATATTATTAAATTTAACAATGTTTTTTAAAAAACAGTCACTAAATGATCAAAATTAATGACGTTTTTGTTTGAAAATATTATTAAATTTAGTGACATTTTACAAGAAATGTCGTAAAAAATTAACGATGCTTTTACTTAAAATCTCGTTATATTTTTTGATGTAGATATAGTTGTTGTTCGAAATACTATTTGACGTACTTCTACGTCAGAAATTCTCAATAATTTTTAGAAAAGAAAAAGAGAGTGGAGCAAAAATGATGATGAAGAGAGAAATGTGGTCTACTCTAGGCTCAACCATGGCGGCCATAATGTTCATGTATGTCATGTTTCGATAGTACTTCCCTCGTCGGCTTCAGGATTATTATGTTAAAATAGATTTACTTAGTATCTAATAAATATATAATTTTTTTATAATTTTATATTTAAGTTAAATTTTTATATTTTTATTTAATTGATTTTAAATTAAATATTTAATATGATATTAAAATCATAAATTTTTTCTGTTATCATTTTTAAATTTATTACATAATAATTTTTTTTATTATCCTTTTTAAATTTGTCCCATAATAGATTTATTTTTATCTCTTTTTACATGTAATGATGATCTGTTAAAATGATGTTTCTTTTTATCTCACGCTACATGTCTAATAAAATGATATTTTAAATTTGTCACATAACAAGTTTTTTATTGTCCTTTTTAAATTTATCTTGTAATAAGCTTTTTTTCATTTCCTTTATATGTGATAAGGGTTTGTTAAAATAATGTTATTTTTTATTTAGGCTTGTTAAAATAATGTTATTTTATATTTAATAAATATCTAATTTCTTATAATTTTATATTTAAATTGGATTCTTCTATTTATTATTAGTTTTAGGTTAAATACTTAACACGTTCTATTACTTTTTTTAAATATATTTTAATACATTTTGTTGCTCTTTTCAAATCTATTTTAACACATGTTGTCATTTTTAAATTTGTCTTAATACCTTTTGTTACCCTTTTCAAATTTATTTTGTTACCTTTTTTAAATTTGTCATGTGATAAATTTTTTTTTCTTTATCTATACGTGATAAAAATTTGTTAAAATAATTTTATCTTATTTTTAATAAATATATATTAATTTATAATTTTTTATAATCTTATATTTAAGTTAAATCCCTTCACTCAGTTAATTGATAATATATATTTATTATTTTTTATAATCTTATATTTAAATTGAGTCTTTTTATTTACAATTGATTAATTTTGAGTTGGATGCTTTTAATACCTTTCAGATTCAATTTCTAGTTCTTGCTAGTCTAGAGCTTTTGCAACTTTAAGGCAATATGTATAGATATATTGCCAATGTGTTATATAGGGAAGTGGTGCCATTCCTAAAAAAACCAACTAGATTTCATCAATGTTGTTTGTAAGAATGCCCCAAAAGCTTACTATTCACTTCAGATAATTGTAATGACTCTTCTTTCTTTCTAAGGGCCTCATCAAAATGCAAAATCAATTCTTAATCATACTTGTGCAAGAAAACAAAATTTCTGGAATCCTGCTTTAATTAAAGTATTCAGAAGGCAATACAACAAGCCAAACATGATGACAATACCTCTTAGATCATTGCTTTTGTCACATCAAATTTTAGTCTATAAAACCATCAAGTTTCATATATATTTGCCTGCTTTTGGTGCGTTAAACGACGTACTTAACATCCCCATCACCTTCATGCTCCATGCAAAAGCATTGCTATATTATTTTAGGCCCTGCAATTTTTTTATAATTTCCTTTTTCGTTTCCTTTATGCTAAGAAAATGTAAGTTTTTTGGTAACTGATGTCAATGAAACCTAAGTGTTGAATCAGTTTATTATCATGTCTAGTCAGAAGGCACCAACAGATACTAGTTTTCTCATGAAGAAGAAAAAGAAGTTAAGCTACTGTACCTTTATGAGATGACAAAACAATAAGAGTTGAAACATCGTAAGGGGTGTGAGTAACACAGTTTCAGTAAAATAATTTCCCCAGGGTTTTTAAAATGAGCCAGACTGGCCTGGGGGCTGGGACTGAAAAAAAATCAATATCCACACTGGGGCTGAAAGGGGCAATGCTTTGGGCTGACTGCCTGATCCATATGGTAAATTAGTTTGACAAGCGACTTTAATTAGCTCTCATAGATTTTTCAGTGACAATTCAATGACAGCAAAGGAAACGTAAGAAGAAAAAACCCCACATCACGGAAGAGTAAATAGCCACAAAGAAATCAAAATGCATAGTTTGTACCTCAAAGGATGATCATGACATAACTACTTGTAATTACATGGCTTTCTTAGCTCAGAAGTTTGGTCAATATACAGCTTTTGCCGACTTTTTGGACTACCAGACAAGACACAAGCTACAAGACAATTCACACCGGATTGTTCACAGATTTCACATGGAACAACCCATTTCTATAAACCCAAACCACCCAACTTCTCTGCATAGTAAGGAGAAGAAACAAGAAAAGAAGGAAGTGAATCTAAAACATCGAACATGTTCCCCAGAGACATGATTGCTCATCTAGGATCTATAGCTGCTAGTTTAATGTTTATTTGGGCAGTTTTTCAGCAGTATTTTCCATACCAATTTCGTAGCTATATCGAAAAGTACTCCCAAAGATTGGTAAGTTTTGTTTATCCTTATATTCAGATTACATTCAATGAATTCACAGGTGAGCGTCTGATGAGGAGTGAAGCTTATTCTGCCATTGAAAACTACCTGAGTTCCACTTCTTCTTTGCAAGCAAAGAGGCTCAAAGCTGACATAGTGAAGAACAATCAGTCTCTCGTTCTCAGTATGGATGATCATGAAGAGGTTGCTGATGAATTTAGAGGTGTAAAACTTTGGTGGGCTTCTGGTAAACATATTGCCAAGACACAATCATTTTCTCTCTATCCTGTCACAGATGAGAAAAGGTTCTACAAGCTTACTTTCCACAAAAGACACAGGGATATCATCGTCGGACCTTACCTGAAACATGTCCTGAAAGAAGGTAGAGCAATTAAGGTAAGGAACAGGCAAAGGAAGCTTTATACGAATAATGGATCGATGTGGAGCCATGTTGTATTTGAGCACCCTGCAACATTTCAGACATTAGCTATTGAACCAGATAAGAAGAAGGAAATTATGGAGGACTTGACTACTTTCAGCAAGGCAGAAGAGTTTTATTCTAGAATCGGGAGGGCTTGGAAGAGAGGTTATCTTCTTTATGGTCCTCCAGGGACTGGTAAGTCCACAATGATTGCTGCCATGGCCAATCTTTTAGGCTATGACATCTATGATCTTGAATTAACAGCAGTGAAGGACAATACAGAACTGAGGAAGCTCTTGATTGAGACATCAAGCAAATCTATAATTGTTATTGAAGACATTGATTGTTCACTTGATCTTACTGGTCAAAGAAAGAAGAAAAATGAGAAAGAGGAACAAGAAGATATGAAGGATCCAAGGCAGAAGCTAACAAAAGAAGATCACAAAATCAGCCAGGTTACTCTTTCAGGCTTGTTGAATTTCATTGATGGGCTATGGTCAGCTTGTGGGGGTGAAAGATTAATTGTTTTTACAACAAATTTTGTTGAAAAACTTGACCCAGCTCTAATTCGAAAAGGGCGGATGGATAAGCATATAGAATTGTCATATTGTGGATTTGAAGCATTCAAGGTGTTGGCCAAGAACTATCAAAAGCTTGAGTCTCACAATTTGTATTCCAGGATCCAGGAATTGTTAGCAGAAGCTAGAATGACTCCAGCTGAAGTTGCAGAACATTTGATGCCAAAAACTGCATCAGGGGATCCTGAAACCTGCCTGGAAAGCCTGATTCAGGCTCTAGAATCAGCTAAAGAAGAGGCCAGGCTGAAAGCTGAGAAAGAAGCAGAAGACAAGGAATTATCTGGCCAAGAAGAAACAACAGAGATCCAGGTATTGGTTGACAAAAATGTAAGAGATGAAAATTCAGTCCATTGAAGGAAAAAGGTTAACGAGTGGCATGGATTGTAGGCTTATAGCAGAACTAGATTCATAATTGAACGAGTATGGTCTGTCTCATTATACAAGAAGATATTTTGTATCAATCTTGATCAACAATTGTTGAGTTCGCTGTTCACCTAATGACTCTTTTATTTTATTTCTTATTTCAATCGTCCTGATAACTTTTTCGTTTGTCAAGATGATAATACTTTACGCTTGTTAATAAGTGTACGTCTGTTGAGACAATTATTCAACTGACACATTTAACACTTTAATTATACATGCCGGAAATTTAGACAAAAATCTTTTTCATTGCTTTCTAAAACAATGACGGAGCTATTTTCAATCTAAAAGATATTATAGTCCACTGAAAATAATATTGTAGAATATAAAAAAATGTTTTGTATGTTTTCAAAGAATGGATATCTAACTGTCAAAATCTTCTTTAAGGTCAAATTTTGAAAACAATTTTGTGTGACAAATTTGCGGATATTTTTTTTTTTTTGTTTGAGGAAACTTTGTCATCTGCAAAAAAAAGATTAAAAGGTTTTCCAAAATTATGACAATCATAAAATGTGTAGTTCAAAAACTAGTGATATAATAATCAAATGTTCAGATTTCGGAGGACATTCGACTGTTTTAAGGATAAAATTGAATTAAAAAACACCTCAGTTGGAGGAACCCTTCAATGGCCAAGTGGGGCTGCCGATGGTGGGAATACTCCCATCATGTGGCGGCTTTGACACCTCAACGGGTGCCCGGCACGACGGTAACCAAAAAATACTCCAACCATACCACACCATCGCTTGGATTGCCAGAAATAAATTAGTACCTAAAATCTTATCTTAGATTAATTACTCTAGCAATACTTAGTCACTTACAAATATGTATTTACTTTAATTGATGACTAACATGATTTATTCATTTTTTAAGAAAAAAAAATGAATTCATTGCAAATATAGACCATCTTTTTTATTAATTAATTTAATTAAGAAACTTCTTGAATTAATATCGAAAAAATGAAAAAAAAATGAAAGAAAAATTAACACTTTTCTTGGATATGTGATAGTTACATAACACTACAAAAAAGATTTAAGATTTCAGTGTGGGGCATCAACCACCCATTTCCACAATTGTAAACCCATCTTTCATCACAGCTCCATACTTTATAGCCATCAGTGAATCCATCTTAATTGTGGTAATATATAAAATCAGAGAGATCACATGTATACTTTTATAATTCTTTCCAACCCTTACCAGAAGGAACACTGAAACACTGGATTGCATCATCTCCATCTTCTGATATAAGTATAATCCAACCTCAATGGGCATTAGTGTCTCTCTCAGCAACTTTCCTTTGGTATTATTTGCATTGCCGCGGTCTAAAATTGTCGTTGGAAAGAAGAGAGCTGACCAAAGTTTCCAACCTTTTCACTCCGGGGCCAGGCCTGAGGACTGTTGTATTACCAACAACAGAACAAGGATCAGTCCCATTTTTCCCACTTCCTACACACCAACCACCTGGAGTAAACATTTCTTTGCCCCGAGACAAGAGTTCAGAGTCGATTTTGTCAAGAACTGGGTCATCCTGAGGGAACTTTCTCGCAAAAGGGGCATTGCTGTCGATCATCCGTTGCATGTCAGCAAGCTTGAGGTGATGAGGATGCTGCTTAGGAGGGTTATCCCATGATATAAAATGGAGATCACTGTTTACTGTAGTGTTACGGAACTCTTGAGCATTACAAATGACAGTGTGAAAGTAACCTTCCGGAGAAGATAAAAAGTTTGCATAGTACATGAGGACTGTTCGAGGTAGGTTGTCCCATCCCCAAATGCAATAGTCAATAAAAGGGCGAGAAAGTGCCATCCAAGCAGAACCTATTACAGAAACCATATGCTTGTCAGAGATACCAACCACCTAACGCAGAAAATAGTGGCCATTTATGGCTGTATAATAGATTCTTGCAACTAGGTAGTTCAAATTTTGCCAACATACGAATGAGCATATTTTCCAATCAGAGTAGCATACATGATAGAACAGCCAATTCCAGATGTAATCAACTACTTCATGAGAATGTTCCAATATTTAGACTTGAGAACATATTGCATAGTACTTATGTTTCTTCCCATTAAGGACACTAAATTAGAATATATTTTCTCTAATGCAACAAGCCTCAGTATAACCAAATGATAAGTCATTAATTAGATTATTCTGCATGATCATGAACCTGATACAAAAGCATCAGTAGTCACGGTTACAAACATCAGGAAAATTCAATGAAATTACAACTTACAAGTTAGACGCATAACATATATACATGATGCTTTAGTCGTTTGGATATCTGCAACTAATTGAAAAATCAAACTTATACTGTTTTGCCTTAAATTGTTGTTTAGAAAGTCTCAAAGAACAGGACTATTTCGAACCTTTAACTTCTACTTTAACTATTATATAACAACCCTACACGAAAAGGAAATCAAAATGACATAGCATTTAGCATTATAGCAATGCAGAATCACATTACTTGAATCAGAAAATGAATTTGAAAAGGTAAAAAATAAATGAAAATAAGTACAGAAAAAGAAGATTTGTCAGTTAAACTTGGAAGCCAAAATTAAATAGTCACATCAGTGCTATGCTGCTAGCAACATGAAATAGAACAAGAATAGGGTTATATTTGGTTAACAGAGTCACTGTTCTTTCTTAAAATGAAGCATCCTATATGCCAATAACTTCATCATCCTACAAAGCCTCAGATTTGAGAGTTATGTGAAGTTTATTTTATGCTAAGAAGCAGTTCTGACTTCTATGTTCCCATCAAAGAGATGACAAACTTCAAGCTGCTAGCATTTTGTGTCAACCAATTAACAATCAAATATGACATTTAAATTTAAAATCACACTAAAAAGTAATAGTCAACACTATGGATAGGTAAAGTCAGAGAGGAACTAGGCTGGTTCCAAAGGAACATGAATGAACTCACTACTTTAACTTCTTCCCCAGGAAAAGTGAACACAGGAAAATGAGATGAGTACACATACAATTATCTTTTTAGCACATTCAAGTTTCGATAAAGGCTTTGGCAATATCAGTACAACCAAATGAATAGGCAAATGTAAAAGATACATATTTCTCCTAAAATACTTTCAATTTCTATGTTTTAAGGGGAAGTGAGAGAGTGGACTGATAACCATATGGGATTCACCATATAATTGACAGGGGAATAGTCAAAAACTCAGATTAAACATGTTTCCATGGCTACTGGGGGACAAAGCAAAGAAATAAGTTAAATAATTTAGTATCCTAACAGACATTTCTGCCTATTGCAGCAATTTTCCTGAATGTTTCTCACCAACAATCCCTTGTACCCAGCAGGAAAGCTTTCTTTGTGTGCATTTACAAGCTGCAACTAGTCACTTAAACAAGTGAAGCAGTGTAGACATGCCATTCCACTCTACATATTTCTCAACTTCCTTTGGATCAGAAATTCCAAGAAATCTTGTCGTACTATGAGAAGCATTAAAAAGAAAATAATCAATTCTTCCTTTAAATAATCTCACCAATAAGCTGATTTTACACAATCAGAAAGCAGCAGAGAAAATGAATAGGAAAGCTGTTTGTCTCCACAGTCCACCCAATTGACCTATATTCAAATCTTAGCTCAGTTGAATCTGTTCTTCTTTAAAACCCAGACTAAGAAAACAAAACAATCAGATTTATATAGTCTTTACTTTTGACCTCCAATTTGATCATGAAAGAATCTTCAAGTCAAAACTAGATTCCAGTTTCAACCATTCAACCATTCTAACAATATAAACAAATTTATTCAGTGAAATATTATCTAAAAGCATTATTCAAATCTCCAGAGATCATTATATAACCAACAACTATCTTCACAAAAATGAAACAGATTCAGCTGATGCATGGAAAAGACTAAAGAGACAAACTACCTAATCAGAACTAATCTAAAAATCAAACAACAACGTCACCAAAATTCCCAGAACTAAATAAGTTGAAGCTTTCAGCATTTTTACCAGTAAAGAGTTTGAATGCAGTTGGCACACTTCTCCTCTGAGTAACCCAAAATACATCAGCTTTTTTCATACTATACAACCCTGGATCTATAATAATTGGCTTAGCCCTCTGAAACCTGCCATTAAAACAATAAAACCCCAACAATCACTCAGTTTCCAAAACTAAAAGATAGTGCTTGTATGATCAACGAAATTCTGTGGAAAAATAAAATTTAAAAGCTTTAAAAGTACTCACTCTTTCCACCCAATATTGCTTGTATGATCAATGAAATTCAGATCCCTTGGCAAGTATGCAAATGTGTGTAACAGATCTGAAAGATACCCAAAATCCCAAAGCCAAAAGTAAAAAAAAAAAAGCTAAAAGCACAAAGAAAGTGTTTTTTTTTTTTTTTTCAATGCCCAATTCCAAAAAACATATGAAAAAAATTGCAATCTTTACTCAAAAATGGAAAAAAAATCAATTTTTTTGAAGATCAAACTCACCATCTTGGGTAACAAGGGGATAATCAGAAGCACTAAGATTAATAAACCAATCCCAATCTCCACCTTCTTTCAGCAAAATTGCAGCAGCATGAAGCGTATTAGCAACCATAGTAGGTCCTCTATAAGTAACCAAATTAGCTTTCACAATCATCCTAACATTCCCAACTTTGTTAAACACTTGATGATCTTTCACAAACTTCTCCAGATCGAGCCTCTCTTCAACGCTAGCTTCCCCGTCAAGATGAACTACGTATTGATTCAAGGGATGGTAAAGGGCTAAAAGGCTCCTTCTCAGCATCCGACCGTCGCCTGCGGAGCCGGAAATGAGGTACGCGAAGCGGGGAGGCGGAGGGAGTGTGGAGATAGGGATGGGTTTTAGTTGGTTCTCCACGAAAGGGGAGGAGCCGCCGATTATGGCGGAGGAGCGGTAGAAGAAAAGAAACGGGGAGCCATCAAAAGAGGTTAAGGTTGTTAAGAAGAGTAAAAATAAGGAAACAATGGAGCCAACAGCTAATGGGAAGATCCATTTACGCTCCATTGCTTGGTTATTGTTGTGACGAAATTGCATGTAATAAGTTTTTAATCTCTTCATTTCTTTTTGGTTTTCTCTTCTTTTCTCTTGTTTGGATTGAAGGAAAGAACGAAAGAAAGCCCTGTGTTAGGAGTTAAGACAGGTTTCTTTTTTCTTGCCCGTGTTAGATACCAGAAAGGAAAGTATTTTGGCAGTGGTGGAATTTAGGAAAGATTAATTTAGGGGTTAATGAATTGGGATCTATGATTTTGAGAATTAAAGAAAAAAATTTTTGACTTTTTTTTTTTAGTTTTAAAATTAATAAAATATATTATTTTCATCAAAATAAAAAAGATAAAAATTTTATTTAGAGTTATAATACAATAAATTAAATTTATATTGTAAATAAATTTGAAACATAAATTAATTAATTTATACAATCATTTAAAAAAAATAATATTTAATAAAATTAAATTTAAATTTTAATACTTTTGATTCATTCTTTTATTCTCAAACCTCTTTTGTATTAAAAAAAATTTATATAATTGATGAATTTATTATAATAGCTGTATAATTACAAGTATAACGATTTCTTTAAACATTTTAAATACTACATTAATTGAACTAGAGTTGAAATTTTAGATTATTTAATGTGATAGATAACCCTAAACATGTAATAATAATAATAATAATAATAATAATAATAAATGAATAAATTAAATACCCATGATTTATATTTTCCTTTAATATATTTTTGTCCTAAAATTTTAAATCATCACCAATAATATTTAAACAATAAGGTGGACCCTATCCAAAATCTATATCACCAGCCAATCAACCAGACAAATTAAAGCTAACTGCCTAACCATCCATTAATTTCTTGGGAAGTGATGCCATCATGATAAAACCCTCCTAAATTAGTTGTTCAAAGGTTAAATTGAGTTTTGTTTTAGGCCATTATTTGTTACATAGATGCAAAATTTTTCTCAAACAATTGTCTAAAAGTTGTTTACATAATCTTGTTAAGGTTAGACCAATAAGAAAGATGATAGAGATGGTCTTCTATTTTTGAGGTATTTCTTTCAATGGGTTGGTAGACTTTAGAAAGAGTGTGGAATTGGAAAGACCGAAAAAGAGGAAGTTTAAGTGAATAAGTGAGAAATGAATGATGAATCCCTAAGTTTATAAGTTTCTCAAGTTTAAGTCATGAGAAAATTTTAAATAAAATTTTATATTTTCTTAAAGATATCGATTATTTTAATTGAAAATGAAGCTCAATCAATATGTAAATCTAATTATTCATAGGATGAAGATAAATAATCATTTAATTTAGTTATTTGGCATGAATAAAAATAATGCATGAAATGTGCAAAAAAATTAAAATTGAATAATCATTATAATTACCATAAATTTTAACACTTATTCATTATAAATTTCTTTTTTAACCAATATATATAATTAAGAATAAGATTTGAAAAATTTTAGTTACTTGTCTTTAAAGGAAAGTTAATCTAGAAAGGGGAAGGGAAAATAGTTACATCAAGGAGAAAAACAAATTGTCATTTGTTTTCTAAAAGTCATAATGAATCTCTTAGTCAGAGTAATAAAAAAACTTTAACATTCACTTCTCCTTTTTTGGCCTTAAATAATAAAAAAAAATTCATTGAAATGAGATTAGTTTTTGATTATTTTGATTAACATGATACTATTTCATAAATTCATACACACACACATATATATGTTTAATTTATAGGCTTTCGGGCTCTACAAATTTTGTGCAGGTACTCTTGAGTAGGTTCCTTATGCTTGATACACATGCAAGTTTTCAGGTTTCAAGCCAGCAAAAGAGACATGGTGTTTCCTGGTCTTTATGGAACTGATTGGCAAAAAAAAAAAAAAAATGATGCAACTGATTTTGATCGGCTTAGGAGTGCAATAGAGAAATTAACATAATTTAGTTGATTTTGATCTAAGATAATGCATTGTTGTTGTCAAGCTGTATGTGTGAGGATAAAAGTCTAAAAACATAAGAGAAAAAAAATGGTTAATAATAAAAATTAAAATTTTTTTTAATATTTATAGTTCGACGTTTAAATTTGGACAAAAAAAAAAGAGTAAATATAAATGTTGCAGTTTAAATTAATTTAATAATACCTAAAAAAGATATATTTATACTTGTGCTATGAGACTACTAAGCTTAGGTGACCTCAGCACTAAGTAGTGGGGTTAAGATTAATATCGTGAAATTGACTTAAGTTAGCAGTTAACAACTTAATCGAAAAATGATAAGTTAACATTCTTGTGTGTCATGTGATCAGTTAAAGTGATTGAATTGACATGAAATCAATAGGTCAATTTTACATATTAACTCGATTAAATTAATTAAATTATCTCATTTGATAGGTGACTCACATTTTGAGATGAAAAATCCCTTTTATGTTTTGAATCTTAAAATATCTCTAACAAACGTATGTGTTATATACATGTATTATACTAAGGATATAGTTCTCCCAAGTGAATAAGTTCATAAACTATTTAGCTCTAAATCTTAAACTTATTACTATATTAATAAAGGTTATACAGTTCGGAGCCAATACGTTTCTATCTATAATATATGACTTGTTGGGAACATTCTTGTATCTGAAATGGAATCTCAAAGTCCATTTAAAATAAGCCTATGATGAATAACAAGAGAGAATAAAAGAAAGGAATTGAAAATAAGGATGTTCAATTTTGCATCTCAATTGCCTTGAAGAAGAAAAAAAGAAATGTTAATTTTATTTATAATCAAGTAATTGGATGAGTAAACTCAACTATTTTAATATTAGGATATAACAATCTAATTATTTAATTGGAAATTAATAGAAAATCTAAAACAAAAATCACCTTTGAACTCATAATGAATCATCTCCAACATTGTTGATTCACTTGAAACAATTGAAGAAACTGAAGAGTTCTTATTGTATTTTTTTTTTCTTAAAAAGCTTGTATAAATCATAAAATAATTGGCTACGATACTTTTTATTTTTTTTCTTATATATTTACGTAAAAATAAGTATTTTTTTTTAAATTACAATTGAAATTCATATTCAAAACTTTCAATTTTAAAACTGAATTTAATACCTTTTGGGTAAAATTCATTGGATAAAGAATTCTAAGTTGATAACCTTATAAATAAAATAAGATTATTATTTTGAATAAAAAAATTTATAAAAATTTAAAATTTTGTAAAACATTTTAAAATTTTGTAAAACATTTTTACTTTGAAATTATTACGTAAAAGATATTAATAAATACATAATAGGTTGAGGTAAAAAATTTCTTTTTTTGTAAAACATACATAAAAGATATGGTGTTTTCTGGTCTCTACCCTGCAGATGGATCTGATTTTGATGCACTTAACCGGGCTATAGAAAGACTAACATGCAATGATGCCAGCACCTCTATTAGTGAGGAGAGTAGCACAGCACTTGGACTGGGTTTTAGGTCTGCTGTGTTATATTTTATGACTTCATCTCTTAGTACCAAAAGTCGAGTAGTTTTCTTCTGCTATTGAATTATGGAGACTTTTGCATTTTTACAATGGAATAATTTGTAGTGTGTCGTGTACTCCTCCTGCAGGTGTGGGTTCTTAGGCTTACTTCGCATGGATGTTTTTCGTCAAAGACTCGAACAGGTGTTTTTTCTTCCATTTTGTCCATTTACCTAGATATTCTTTTTTGGTTTGCAAGTCATAACATTTTGTCTGTATTATGGATGTAGGAGTATAAAGCTCATGTTATTTCCACTGTTCCAGCTGTTCCATATATTTTTTGAGTATTCTGATGAAAGGTACATATTATGGTGGCCTTTGGTAATCTCGTTTTTTGGATAAAGTGGCATTTAATGTGCTTTATATCCCCTGATCTTATGCAGCAAAGTAGAAGTTCAGAATCCTGCTGCATTGCCCTCAAATCCTTAGAAACGAGTTATAGCTTGTTGGGAACCTACAGTAATAGCAACTATTATTATTCCTAGTAAGCTCCCATACCCATTTGCTATCTATTTTCTGCAGCATGCAAAGGTTTTATTCTTTTATATCCTTTTGCTTACTTGTAGGTATGTGCGGCCTGTTATTACCCTTTGCTCTGAGCTGAGAGGCCAGCAGCTGGAGTACACATTCATCGACAGGTAATTTTTGCCATTATGATTTCTTGACCTCCACTTTCAGATTTGACAATGGGTAAATCTTGTGCGAAATAGTTTCTATTTATCTAGGTTTCATGTGGAAAAATCTGCTGGCTGGTTCTCATAGTTGAGTTAATGAATGAAATATTAAAATATATGATGCAGAATTTGGCTCCTTTAGTCGTAGTAGTAATTGTTATTTCCACCTTGATTATGAAACTTTCTTTTATCTTTGTTCTCCATCATCCATCAATTTAGCAAATCGAGTTCTGCGCATTTTTGTTCATATTTGTTCATTAGATTCAAAAACTGTAATTTGTATATCTGTAAAAGTACCATGTGAGAAACTGTTCCATAAGTCAACGGGCTTTTATGAAGTATTGGCTACCTTTGAGGGAAATTGTTGTTGACTTTTACTATGAGTTGAAGAGTATAATGTCTGGCTATGCCTTCTTTGACTATGAGGATTCAGAGTAAGCGCCTTTCCCTCCATCTCTCTCTCACAAGACACACACACACACATGTATGGGCATAGGGCCCAGCATTATTGTGGTTGGTGCATACAAAAGGCTGCAATATGCTATTTAATGTCCTGTAATAATGCTTCAGGGATCAAGTTTTCTAACATATAAACTGGTTTCAACTAGATAGATTTCCTGATTCCCTGGGATTGCTACCAATGCATAATGCCATTTGATCTGGCCTAAATTTTCAGTAAAATCCTAGGCGGAAGTAGTAGTCTTCTGGCATTTTATGTACTTACTCCTGATTGGATATTCAATGTTCTTTATTGATATCCCTATACTGATGTGGGAAGTAGTAGTCTTCTGGCATTTTATATACTTACTCCTGATTGGATATTCAATGTTCTTTATTGATATCCCTATGCTGATGTCATTTTTCTGTGACTCCACAAATAGGAGCTTCTTACTGCCTGTTATTGACACATTTATTGTTGTTGTTTACAGACACCAACAATCTGATTTGGTGAAACTGGATATCCTCCTAAACGGACGGTCAGTTGATGCCATGGCCACAATTGTTCACAATTTGAAGGCATCAATGTGTTGGTCGTGAACTGGTTGGCAAGCTTAAAAAATTCA